AAAAATTTAATCCTAATATCTGTTCACTGACTGTTCATTTAATTAAGGAATGTCTGTACACATTAATGAATGACTCGGTAAAACAGAAAACAAATTTTGAATTTATGGCCTAATGCAGTCAGTTATGGGAGTTTGATTTCTCTGATTTTATAGGATGAGAATTTCTAGTGGTGAGATGCCAAACTTTTACTACACTGTGTCCTGGGCAGTGGTGATGTCAGTCACCCACCTCTTAGCAGTTTGGCCAGTTCCATGATCACCATCCCTTAGTAGAATACCTAGATTTACCTAGACATAAGGAAAAGCCCTCACTTCCTCGCCAGCTTAATTCTTAAATCTTGATTCTTCCAGAACACATTTCCTTTCCATAATGCAAGTAAACTGAAGAGTGAACCTTGATATGTAGCGTTTGGTCACCATTTACCAACCAATACATAAATAGGGTTCCTGGATTCTAACCAGTAATACTGAAAAGCACACCTGACTAAGGCATGATTTTCTTTGTTGTAGAAATACAGTATAGGTTCATTTTTTTAAAAATGGACGTGCAAATTGCATCTCCCTAGGAGATACATTTTATAAATATTTTTAATGGTTTGTTTTTTTTTTCCCCTGCTTTGGATTTCTATTTCTTTTCTCCATTTGTTCTTTTTCTGTGTTACTCTTAACATGTCCTGATCTCTTTCATACCTCTTGTGTGGTCTCTCTGCAGAGAGCACCCAAGTCCTGGATCTTAGTAATGAAACCTGTGTCTGGGACCTAGGACAATTAAATAATGGAGCTACTGTCTTCTTGGGTAAGGGGCTTCCTAAAATGGTCATGTCCTTGGTAGCCAGCAATTTATACTGTGGCTGCACCTTCCTTTGACATGTGAGTGTCAATCTGTGTTGCTAGTCATGATACTGCCATTGTTTTTCAGTGTTCTATAGGATGTCTGTCCCTTAAGCTACTTGTGTATTTTATGAGTTTGCTTTAAAATTGTTAAACTCTGGTTACAAATAATTCCTCACTTAGAAATCCACAGTAATGTCTTTGTAAGGCCCCTATCAATGAATACTGTTAGTCTTTCTCTGAACCTTACTCCCACTTCTACTTAAAAGGGACCTCAATTTAAGTCTCTTTAGTCCTTCAAGGCCTGGCCCTGTTCTTGGCCCCTCAAGAAATCTTGACTCGTAAGTCCTATTTCATTGTCTTTCTTCTCTGAATCCCTATAAAGTCTCAAGTCTGTATGACATACTCTTACACCAAATTATATAATGTACTGTTCCTAGCTGGTACATGTATATTAGTCTTGTCTTCCTCATGAGAATGTAAGCTCCTTTAAGGGCAGGGACCATGTCTTAAAATTTTGTATCCACCACAGTGCCTAGCACAGTGCTTGGCACATGGGTGCTGAATAAATACTTTGTTTATTGATCAGCAAACTATTATCTGGTATTTTAATTGTAGAGGGGTGGGATTAAATTGTGTTACGCACGCCTCTACCTACATACCAAGGTTTATGATTATCTCAAAGTGGAATGGAGTAAAACATGATCTGGGCAGTGGTTTGGTGCTCCGACAAATCAGCCAGCAGCAGTGACTACCAATTGAATGGTCAAGTTTAGAACAAATAGTTCACAAACCATCCCAAACCAGTTAAGAATGAAATGTGTCTAGACCTCCATGGTGACGCAGAGGTTAAAGTCTCAGTGCTATCAAGCTATTGCCAGCCACTACAGTCTGAGTTCAATCCCTGCCCAGGGAACTAGCCCACATGGCACAGCAGACCTTCTGACTCACACTGCTCCCCTCAGCAGTGTGTTTCAGTAGATCTGCCTGTTCTGCTCCCCACTCTGTCTCTGGTGAATCCTCTCACCTCCTGGGCCTCTGACCTATACCCCAGCTCTTCTATGCATAAATAAATAAATCTTTAAAGAAAAATAAGAATGAGGGCCTCCCCGGTGGCGCAGAGTTGAGCGCTGGGTTGCAAAGCTGCCCGCGGCCTCTGCGGCGCCAGTTCGACCCCCGGCTGCTCCCTGGCCACCGGAGGAGGGTCCCACATGGCGCACAGACCTCTCCTGCTGCCCGCTGCTCCCCTCAGCAGTGTACTTCAGTCCTTCTGCCTGCTCTGCTCCCCGCTCTGGCTCTGGTGAATTCTCTCACCACCCCGTGCTTCTGACTGTACCCAGTGCATGTATAAACAAAACAAACAAATAAAAATAAAGAAAGAAAGAAAAATAAGAATGAAATGTGTCTGACAACCGCCTTTTAAAGGAAAAACCCAGATACTCTTTGAATAGTTAATTTGTCATCTACATATGGAAATCACTTAGCCACAAGAGATTTTATAGAGAGAGAGAGCAAATTTTAGGCACTAAAGGATGGGGGTAGGGGGAGTGATGTGTGTAACACCGTTTGACACAGGATTTTATTTTTCAGCTCTAGTTCCATTGAACTTTGAGACTGCAGAATAGCTGGGTCATTAGGCCAGAGATTTTTGGATGAGTTACCTACACGTGGTATACTGAGTTGCCTATACAGTCATTGAGTTGCCTGCACCATTAAAACAATTGAGGGGAAGAGCAACATTTAACACTGGCAGGCCTCACATGAAAAACTTCATTTTTGGTTTTTCTTAGGAAAAAAATGGGAATATCTGGCAATAGTAGGCCTGCATGACTGTCATTGCCTAGGGGTGACTAGCGACTACTTACAAAGCATGTGCTCTACTAAGAGATTATATCACTCATTTATATCACCTACCTGGACTCTTGTAGTCATTGGAACATATGTCTCCTGCATTGGATTTCTTTGGAAAGCACATTGGGGAAAAGGTCAGAGGTTTGTCTTTTACATATTCAAGGACCATAATTTGAGAGTTAACAGGTATTGCTACAGTCTGAATCTTTAGGTTTCCCCAAAATTCTAATGTTGAAGTCCTAATGCATGATACAATAATATCAATAAATATGCCTTTGGGACGTGCAGTCTTGAGGTGCTTAAGTCATGAAGGTATAACCATGAATAGGGATGTGCCTTATGAAGAGGCCCCAGAAAGATCCCTAGCCCTTTCCATCATATAAGGTCATGACAAGGGCAACTATAAACCAGGAAGAGGGTCTTTACCAGAAGATGACCTGGGGGTGGGGATGGGGAGTGGGCGTGTAACAGGGTGGTCCCCAGGAAAGGGGGAGGTTCCCTGCCCCACCCAAGGGAGGGTGGAGCTGAGCAGGAGGAGGAGAAGCTGCAGAAGAGACTGAGGAAGGAAGCAGGATGGAGCCAGCAGACCTGGAGGAGGCGCATGGAGCCTAGAGACACGTGAAGAAACTGCGCTTGTCTTTTGGTTGTGGACTGGGTGACACAGATGTGGGTGAGACCCGTGGAGAGGTGACCATGGCAGCTTTTATCTTGATGTTGATTTTGCTCTTTTCCTTCCGGGCTTGTCTGGTTGTTTCTGACCCTTTGCTGTGGGTCCCCACTGGAAGATGCTTTAGACTTGTGGCAGGCTTTGGGGCCTTGCTCTGGGCCGATCCCATATGGATGGACTTTTACCCGCGAGGGGACGGGTAACTTTGGGTGCTTCATTTAGAAACTAGATTCTTTGCCTTACCTGTATTGTTTCCTAGTTTTATTAAAGTTCCTTCCCATTAAAGTCTCCTATGTTTTGTGCTGATGCGGTGGATGGCAGAACCCATTTAGAATAGGCAGGTTTGCGGGGTTTGGGCTGCCCCTCTCCCTGTCCTATAACAGGCGGAGAGTATCTTTCTAAATTAATAGAAGTAGGAAGTGAAATTTTGTCCATTCCTAAATATGCATCTGTATTTTGATCAACCTGTGCATTTTCAGTAATACCTGGTTATTGTCAGCAGCTAATGGAATATTTTCTCTGACCAGGAAGAAAGAGGAAGATTTTTAACTGTTTCACTAGTAGGATGAGTTTCGTGGAAATGAACTTCAGAAGATGCTTAAGATCCTTCACATTGATTGAACCTTCTGATGAATTATCTGGAAATCGCATTTCCTGTGTGGAGAGCAAACAGCTGCTTGCAAGACTTATCTATGAGTTTTGAATTTAGAAGGAGAAACCACTACTATTATCAACGCTGGAGTTGTAATGCTTTCCATTGATTGGTGGTGTGTGTAATGGGGCTGAGAAGGACTTTAGATTCTGGCAGGAATAGATGTAGACAGGCATAGAAAAGACGATTTTAATTCCAATGAACTCTCACTTTCCTTGCCTGTATTACAAGGACACCACGTAGGGTGGTCACTTCTTAAGGTGAATATATTATTTTCATAGATTATATCATATATCGTTTTCCTCTTTTTAAGATTTATTTTATTTATGCATACAAGAACTGGGGTACAGGCCAGAGGTGTGGGGGTGGTGAGAGGATTCACCAGAGAGAGTGGGGAGCAGAAGAGGTGCATCTAATGAAATACACTGCTGAGGGGAGCAGCAGGCGAGTCAGGAGAGGTCTGCTGTGCCATGTGAGTAGCTCCCTGGCCAGCCAGGATCCGGGATTTAACTCTTGCTGCAGTGGCTGCCAATTGCTTGATAACGCTGTCTTTAACCCCTGCGTCACCAGGGAGGTCCATATATCGTTTTCTTATGTGACACAAAATAATCATTATTCCTTTCAACATTCAGATATTGTGACATCTCAATGACTAATGGCAAAGATCCGGTTTTTTCATCTGTAAATTGGGGGGAATATCAGTATCTACCATACAACAAATTGTTTATAAAGCATTAGATAATGAAAACGATCGTGCGTTCCTCATTGGTTTTACAGAATTAGGTCGTTTTCCTTCAAGCGCGAGTATTATTGTGGACAGAAAGGATAAAACCCGTTTTTACTGGAAAGAACCCGTTTTATCAGTCAAGAAAATCGTCGCTGTTATGCAACCTTTCAGTCCCACGGAACCTTACACCCGGTCTAGCGCTGTTGTCACTCCGGGCCTTTTTTCTCCGTTGTACCTCAGCCGGCTAGCCCCGCCCTCAGGAAGTGAAAAACTTTCCCAAGCTCCCAGTGCATGCTAGGAGTTGCAGTCCCGTCCCTAAAAGCTGAGGGTGGCCGTGAGGTCATCGGTGGTCGCCGGGAGCCGGCAGCACGTGGTGGGCGGGGGCGACGCGCGGTAGCTGTCTGCTCCCTGGAGCGGCAGGAGCTGCCCGCCCTCGCGCCCCGGGTCTCCGTGCCCTCCTGACATGCCCGAGGAGGCGGGCTTCCCGCCGGCCAAGAGATTCCGGCCGGGCTTTGGGCCCCCGAGCCGCGCGGGGTCCTGCCCTCCCGGGAGGCGAGTGGTAATGCTGCTGACCGCGGGCGGCGGTGGCGGCGGTGGAGGCCGGAGGCAGCAGCCGGCCCTGGCCCAGCCCTCCACCAGCCCCTACACTGAGGCGGTGGAGCTGCAGCGCCGGAGTCTGCCCATCTTCCAGGCGCGGGGGCAACTGTTAGCCCAGCTGCGAAACCTGGACAGCGCCGTCCTCATCGGTGAGTGGCCGAGCAGGCAGGCCCTTTCTTGTGTTCGGGTCCTTCCTTGCTTTCGGCTTTTCGCTGTCTGTGAGAAGTTTTTCTCTGGTGCCTCCCGCCCTCTTTTATTCGTTTCTACACAAGCCTTCCCTGCTTTTCTTTGTCAGATCTGACTCGGGGCTTCACAAAAGAGTCGGACAGCGCTGCCCTCACAGCCCAGAAGTGACCGATGTGGGAGGCAGAGACTCACCTTCCTTCTGAAAGGGTACAAAGAAGTACCGGGAGCTTTGGGAGCTTAAACGAGAGAATCTGAACCAGTGTAGGCGAAGGCAGCGGAGAAGATGGTCCCCGAGGGAGGTCTTTTTACCTAGAGGGAGGTTCTGCTTTGTGAAAAACAAAGTGGAAGCGAGAAGCAGTTCGATTAGAGCAGAAGCAGTTTCTGGGTCATGAACTAGGAGACAGAATTGTGGGTCCGGACTAATTGCCGCGGGCTTTGCTCCTTAACTTTTAAGTATAAAGACTCCTGAAGGATGAAGAGGATGAGCTTCTAGAGCGGAGGAGAGACCTGATAGTCAAAGGAATAGAGTTTTAAGAAGGAAATAAATAGATGAAACAATGACATCCAGTAATAGACGCACCAAAAAATGCCTACTGGATTTGGATGCAAGGGATTGATTGTGAGTCCCGGTGAGTGTTATTTTAACACAACTGTAGAGCTAGGAACTGATTTGTCACTGGGCTGAAAACTAAATAGGAGGCATGGAAATGAAGGCAGTGGGAGTAGGCTTCTGTTACTAGAAAAAGAAGGAGGAGTGAGAGGAAATTGCAGGAATTCACAGGTGGAGAGTAAGAACTCAATTAGAGAGGAGAGGCTGAAGATAGTAAGTAGATCCTACAGCAGAGATGGGGCAGCATTGGGGACAAGGGTGCATGGCAACAAGAGTTAGATGCAGAGTTGGCCTGCAACAGGAGGAAGGCTATCTGAAAGGCTACAGGACTGGAGCAAGGTGGTAAGAAAGATTGTGACTTCCCAAAATCTTGTAGGTAAAGGTAGTAGGAGATCACATATGAGGCTTTTACTGGTTTTTAGTGAAATAGATGCAGAAATTCTGCTGAGAGTAGGTATCAAAGAACTTCAGGCAGGCCCTTGGGAAGGGTGAGGACAAGATAAATTGCAAAAACAGTATCAGTGGTAGCTGGTACCCGGGTGCATTTGGCCCCACTTTAAACTCAGTTCTTCATCTGCATAATTGGGTTATTTTGCTTTGTTGTGCTCAGTTGGTGGAGGGGCAGGAAAACATTGATCCAAGATTGGGGTTTTGCCTTACCAGGCAAGGCAGAAAGAATGCAGAATAGTCAAATTCTTAGTCCATGATGCTTGGCTGGATCAGGAAGGATGAGCAACCAGAGGAGAAAAATGCAAGAATAATGAGACTGTAGGACTCCAAGGTCAAAGAGATATAATGGTAGCAAGGGAAGGGGAGTGTTCTCAGGTTTACTGAGTTCTTAGTTCTAATTAGGCGCTGTAAGTGAAACCCACAAGGGGGTAGGAAATAACACTGGATCTTACTGTATGTAGAATGCTCAGGTATAGAGCAGAGACCTTCTGCCTACCAGGAGCTACCATTGTCAAAGGAGGACAAAAACTTTTTAATACTTCCCACAAGGTAAGGTGGTCAGTATGGTGGAAGAGAGATGAACAAGGCATAAGGAGCAGGGAGGAAGCCGCCAGTGCAGCTTGATGAAAGAGAGTTTAAGGTGTAACTCATCTTGTAGAGTTTGCCTGGCAGACAATGTGAGAACAGGCATTTCATAATAGTGTGGGCAAGAGCAGAGGACTTGAAAGAAAGCAGGCTAGGGAATGGTGAAGCATTTGTTATGGTTGCAATGTGTCAGTAGATGTCTCTTCATGTCAGAATATATGCATCTCATCTATTATTTTAAAAAATACACTTTATTTAATGGTTATATTTCCTCTTATGTTTTTACTAATCTGGTAACCTATTATTGAGTATGTATGATCTTTCCAGCTTTTTGCTATCAGGAACAAAGAGGAATAAGACATCTTTGAAGTTAAATCTTTATACACATCATTAATTATTTCCTTACAATCAGTTTATGCAAGTGGATTTGTGTGTCCAAGAGTATAAACATATTTAAGATTTTTTAAATATAATTTGACCTTCTGAGAAACAATCCAGTTAACCCTCCACCAACAGTATATATGAGTGCCCATTTTTCTGTGACTCTATCAACTTAGGTTATTTACATCTTTTCCTCCTAACTTTGATCTGTTTGTGGAAGTTGTTTCAGTTTAATTTAAATGAGACTTTTTTGTTCTTTCCTAGGGGAAACTGGTTCTGGCAAGACGACTCAGATCCCTCAGTACCTCTATGAGGGGGGAATTAGTCGCCAAGGCATCATTGCTGTGACCCAGCCTCGTCGAGTGGCTGCCATCTCTCTTGCTACTAGAGTCTCAGATGAGAAGAGAACTGAACTTGGGAAGCTGGTACCTGATTTCCTTCTTTACTAACATTTCTTTCCTGTGCACTCCATTCATGCCCCCAACCTTTTATTTTTCTGAACAAGATTTCTTTTTTTTTTTTAAGATTTATTTATTCATGCATACAAGAACTGGGGTACAGCCCAGAGGTGCGGGGGTGGGGATAAGTGGATTCACCAGAGACAGAGTAGGGAGCAGAACAGGCAGATGTACCGAAACACACTGCTAAGGAGAGCAGCAGGTGAGGCAGGAGAGGTCTGCTGCGCTATGTGAGTAGCTTCCTGGCTGGCCAGGGATCGAACTCATGCTGCAGAAGCCGAGGATAGTTTCATAGTGCTGTGCTTAACCCCTTGCGCCACCAGGGAGGCCCCTGAACAAGATTTCTTAAGCATAGCAAGATTCTTTCTTGCCACAATTATTTAGGCCTTTTAGTTTAGTGTTTTTTGGTTGTTTTTTTTACAGTTCCTAAGAAATCAGAGGGTTTGGCTGGTTAGAGGTTGTCAATCCATTTGCTTTGCTTTCAAAATCTGCTGGCAAGTGGAGTATATTAGTTGTTTTCCTTGAGCATTTTTAAGACCTATATTCAATCTCTTTATATATCTTTCTAGAAAAATCATAAGCATTCTTGTATATAGATGGATATTGCGTCTAGAACTGTATATGTCAGATTTTATTCTGTTTGTGTATGTTTATACATTTCACATAAAAACATCTATGGCATCTTTTCTTATCTGTACATAGTTTCACTTGAAGCTATTAAGTTGCTGGGGTTAGAAAGCTAGTTTTGTTTTGCTTATAATAATTGCAACAAAAGGGGCATGTCCATTGTCTCCGCCACTAGATCGCATGCTCCGAGGGAGCAGAGCAGGGTCGATGTTTGTCTTGTTCACTGTGATCGTGCAAATGCCCACACAGTACTGGATACTTAGTGGGTGCTTAACAAGTGTGTGATGTGTAAATGAGTCACATCTCTGCACAGGTTGGCTATACTGTGCGCTTCGATGATGTCACCTCCGAAGACACCAGAATCAAGTTTCTGACAGATGGCATGCTTCTGCGAGAAGCAATTTCAGACTCCCTGCTTCGGAAGTATAGTTGTGTCATTTTGGATGAAGCCCACGAACGGACTATCCACACAGATGTGCTCTTTGGTGTGGTGAAAGCGGCACAGAAGAGGCGAAAGGAACTGGGGAAACTGCCTCTCAAAGTAGGTTCAGCATGCTTAAGGGTCTAGGCCTGTGCTTCCTCCACAGCACCTCCTTCGCCCATTCTGCTTCAGAACCATGGAGAAAATAACCAAGATGGGAGTGACACAGGCTTTTTATCTGCTTTTATTGTTGAGAGGGGCACAGAAAGTCTGTCCAGTGTTTGATTTCCCGCCCTTTTCTTCCCTCTTTTGCATAGGTGATTGTGATGTCAGCTACAATGGATGTGGACTTGTTCTCTCAGTATTTCAATGGAGCCCCTGTCCTCTACCTGGAGGGTCGGCAGCATCCAATCCAAATTTTTTACACCAAACAGCCTCAGCATGATTACTTGCATGCTGCGCTTGTCTCGGTCTTCCAGATCCACCAGGTATGGAAAGGGTGCAAATGCCTGAAGAGGTCTGTTTTACTTGCAGTTGATAAAGCACACAGGCCTGAAAAGATAGAGCATTCAGCTACTAGATGAAACTACTTTGTGAGCTCTGCCATTAAGATGAATAAGGAATTTATTTATCATGTTCAAGTTTCTATCCTTTTTTTATGGAATCTCTTTTTCCTTTTAAAAACAAAAGTAATTCCATTCTGACCAGCGTCTTTCCTCAACCAAATCAGAAAACTTCCATGTTTTAGAATAGTAGCTTACAAATAATTTTTTATCATAATCCCCCTAAGAAGCATATTTTATAATGTGCACTTTATATTCAGGGAAGAATTGAAGTTCAGTTGGTTGACAGTGAAAGGAGGGTTTAAAAAAAAAGCAAATTGGGCCTCCCCAGTGGCGCAGCGGTTGAGCGCTGGGTTGCGAAGATGCCCGCAGCCTCTGAAGCACTGGTTCGATTCCCGGCTGCTCCCCGGCCACCGGAGGAGGGTCCCACATGGCGCACAGACCTCTCCTGCCGCCCGCTGCTCCCTTCCTCAGAAGTGTACTTCGGTCCTTCTGCCTGCTCTGCTCCCCGCTCTGACTCTGGTGAATTCTCTCACCCTCCCGTGCTTCTGACTGTACCCAGTGCATGTATAAACAAAAAACAAACTAACAAACAAATAAATAAAACGTGCCTCTATTAAAAAAAAAAAAGGCAAATTATTTTATGTGTTAACTTCATACACAGTATATATCACAGAAATAAGTGTTGTGAAGCACTGCCTCCTTTACTACGTGTGATGTCCTCTCGTATTTTCTCCTTCATGCAAACAAAAAACTGATACAGGATTTTTCTTGGCAACCAAAAATAGGTTGCAACTTAAGAGTTCTCAAAAAAAAAAAAAACCCAAAACCTATTGGCAAGCATTTCTTTTTTCTTTTTTTGTTTTAACATTTGAAAAGAAGAGGTTCATTAGGAAAAGGAGAAAAAGAGAGTCCTCTGCATAGTCACAGATGGGCAGGAGAGCTACTGTTAACAGATATTTCAAAATCTCTTCTCATCTTATGACACATTCACTCTAAAATTTGAATGGTTACATAACCCCATTTTTGTTGAATATAAAATTGATTTTTTACCTTCCCATTAACTTTCTGGAAAAAAAACTAGAGACAAGCTTTTTAAAAGTAATTTTTGTTTTTTTTTTATTTTTTTTTTAAGATTTATTTATTTATTTATACAAGCACTGGGTACAGTCAGAAGCACGGGAGGGTGAGAGAATTCACCAGAGCCAGAGCAGGGAGCAGAGCAGGCAGAAGGACCAAAGTACACTGCTGAGGGGAGCAGCGGGCGGCAGGAGAGGTCTGCGCACCATGTGGGACCCTCCTCCGGTGGCCGGGGAGCAGCCGGGGATCGAACCGGCGCTGCAGAGGCTGCGGGCAGCTTTGCAACCCAGTGCTCAACCACTGCGCCACCGGGGAGGCCCTAATTTTTATTTTAAGCCGGCTGGTACATGGATAATTTAAAGTTTAAAAATCAAGTAATTCATTTTAAAAGACTCAATTAAAACAAAAGAACCAGTAGTTGCTTTTACTTATCCATTCCAGATCTTGTTCTTTAGCATAACTACATTCAACTTCTTATCTGTTTCCACTGGATACTACCTTCATATTTCTAAAATAACCTGCTATATAGCATTTTATTTACTTACTGTTATTAGGTGTTACATGTTAATTTCTTACTATGGTGGATGAGGATTTGGAAACACCCTCCCACATCTTTCTTTCCATTCTCGCGGCTTAATTATATCACACTGTTTTTGAAATCAAGTGTCAAGATTATGACTCTACCTTGCTGGCAGTGCACTATCTCAATTTTTCATTCCTTATAGAACATACTTATACAGCCTTAATATATACTTACGATTAATTTTTTCCCATGTTTTCCATCATCTGTCTTCTGCCAATCATGAATATCTTTTATGCATTCAAACATAATCCACTTATCTTAGAGTCCTTTATGCTCTGTTTCTGCTCATAACCGGTTGTTCTTCTGGCCTGTGTGTAACAGTCACCTTGACTTTTCCCTTTGCCATTTTTCTGTGTGTGTCTTGCCAGCCTTCTGGTTGCATAGGGTAGAAGAAGGGACTGGGGGATTTAGCCAAACTGTACTCAGACTTTGAACCACTTCATTTTTATCCTCCTGCGACTCAGCTCCACCTTGTTCCCAAGTCCTGAGCCTTTCTGGCTTCTCTGTGGAAAGTGGCTCATCTCTGGTTACCATTTCCTTTAGAAGGCACCCAGGTGAGCACTTCCTCCACCAGCCCAGCCACTCACCTCCTCCCCCTTCTCTTCCATCTTTCAAAACTGGGTTGAGGACCTCCCTGGTGGCTCAAGGGGTTAAAACGCAACCTATGAAGCTATCCGCAGCCTCTGCATCATGAGTTCAATCCCCCACCAGGAAGCAACCCACATGGTGCAGCAGACCTCTCCTGTCGCACTCACTGCTCCCCTCAGCAGGAGGGGAGTATTTTGTCTGTCTGCCTGTTCCGCTCTCCCTCTGTCTCTGGTGAATCCTTTTACTCCCTGCATCTCTGGCCTGTACCCCAGTTCTTGTATGCATAAATAAATAAATCTTTAAAAAAAAAATGGGTTGAAACTTTTTATCTGTTCTCTTCTCCCATTGTCTTTGTGTTCTAGGCTTATACCTTCACTGTCATTTGATAGTATTTGAAGATGGTCAGTCTCCTTTACCTATCAAAGGTCAATTTGAGATGAGTTTTTTTTAAAGATTTATTTATTCATGCATACAAGAACTGGGGTACAGGCCAGAGGTGTGGGGAGTGAGAGGATTCACCAGAGACAGAGTGGGGAACAGAACAGGCAGACTAATGAAATATACTGCTGAGGGGAGCAGCGGGCGAGTCAGGAGAGGTCTGCTGCACCATATGGGTAGCTACCTGGCTGGGGATCGAACTCATGCTGCAGAGGCTGCGGACAGCCTCATAGGTTGCGTCTTAACCCCTTGCGCCACCAGGGAGGCCCTGAGATGAGGAGTTTTCATGAATGATGCCTGTGGGTGCATTCTGGTTGCATGGTAGTTTTGATGAGTCTTCCCATTGATGAAGTTTTGACTGTTTTAGATTTATCCTGTCTCTTGTGTACCCTCAGACATTTTTGCTGGTATTAATATTGGGCTTAAATAAATGTACTTGCACATACATATACAATATTATGTATATACTTTATTAAACATTTTTCAATTATTTTTGCATCAACCACTTTACAAATTATTGTCTCTGGACAGCCTTCAAGGAAAAATCAAGTAAAATGGTTATGTCATTAACAATGGGATATTCTTCCATCTGGAAGTTAATCTTTTTATTGAAAGCATTTGGCCAAGTACAGTGTGCCTTTGGGTGTATCAAAGTGCTTTTGATGGCATCATTTAATAAGGGCTCCGTTATCAGCATGACTGCTTCTGATCATTTTCATGGGTCAGGACTTTAAGTTTTCTTTTGTTTTATCAGCCTCATCTTTCAAGATGATTTTGAAAAGGAGGAAGCTTTTTGCATATTTCATTTGCTTACTTGATTGTGCTTTTCATGATACTGGTTAATCTGGTGATTTTCATCCAAAATGTCCTTAATTAGCTTTTAAATATAGCTGGCTAACTTGCATAAGTTACAGCTTTATACATTGTAGAAAAGGTATTCCTCCAGGGTAAATATCAACATTTAGGCTCATGTAAATATCAACATTTAGGCTCCACAATTAAGAAAAAAAACTTTGGGAAACATTGTCAGTGACCATGGTTTTGTTCAGTGCACCCTACACTTCTATCAATGCCTGGTAATCCCTCTCTCCCATTTTTATAGGAAGCCCCTTCTTCTCAGGACATCCTGGTTTTCCTCACTGGTCAAGAGGAGATTGAAGCAATGAGCAAGACATGCCGAGACATTGCAAAGCACCTCCCAGACAGCTGCCCCTCCATGCTAGTTCTTCCTCTGTATGCCTCCCTGCCCTATGCACAGCAGCTCCGCGTCTTCCAGGGAGCCCCAAAGGTGAGTGCACCACTTCTTCTGTCCAGCACCATCCCTGGGCTCCCAGATGATCCAGCAGTGGGGCTTATATGCCAGTCACCAGACTCCTTATAAGGTATATGGGATGGGATGCTAGGTACCCAATAACATTGGCTGAAAAACTGCAGGAATGTAATACATCACTATAGATACAGCTCTTCCATGGTAAGAACAGGAAAACTGTTGTTCGGAGATGAGGAAGAGTACACTGGCAGAAGCTGAATGGTTAATGAGTGACTTCTAAGGTCCAACATAAACAGGTCACAGTTGTCCATAATGCCATTTATCAGGTGCCCATGCTGTGCCAGGCACTGTGCTAACACTACATACACTGTCTCTCATCCTCTCAAGAATCAGCAAAGTAGGTTTTGGTCTCCTTTTATAAACCCTGAGGACTCAGAAGCAACAGTTGCTTAAGGGACATATAGTAAGTAAATGTCAGGGTCAGGATGTCATCCCACATCTACCTGCTTCTGAATCTTGTGCCTGTTCTACATCTCATCACACCTCAATATAAGCTCGTAAGACTGGAACATCCCCCCTCTCCTCTACTCAGTGTACAGATCAGCCATCGATATTATTAACTGTCATTAATAGCGAAGTCATCTTTTCTTGATCATGAATGAACTGTGGAAATTAATGGTGAGGAATATGTTTTAAAACTTCTGAATCATACGTGTGTCATATGGCTTTTTGGTTTTCTTCCTCCTTTTAGGGTTATCGCAAAGTGATCATTTCAACCAACATCGCTGAAACCTCCATAACCATTACAGGAATAAAATATGTAGTTGACACGGGCATGGTTAAAGCAAAGAAGTATAACCCTGGTGAGAACCTGTAGCTCATGAATGTCTCTTCTCTATATAGTTAGCACTGTTGAGTTTCATATAGTCTCACAGTTTTCCCCAAATGAGCATTTCATGTTTGGAACTAACTGATATTTAGGTGGCAGGCACGTAGACAATCCAGAAGTCAGGTCCTGAAAGGGGACCTGAGGCAGGTCAGTGAGACAAGAAAAAGAGGTGGAAAGAAGAACCCAGGGTAGCAAACTTGGGGACAGAAGGTCGGGATCTAGACAGAGGGTCTTAAGCCTCATTGGAAGTTGACTGAGAATATTGAAGAAGAGGGACAGCATGATACATCAGAGGCTTCATCAGAAGTAATATTTGAGCATGGCTGGTGTGAGCCATGGAAGGAAGGAAGCATGCCAGAGGCCGGAGTGAGGCACTGGCTATTTCCTGAGATTATACAGTGGGAAACTTGCTTGAAGTCATTTTTATTCTTGTGCATTTCATACCTTGCTTTAACTTAGAGGGGATTTGGCTCCCAAATGTTTAATTGAAATGAACTACAGTGCTTTTGAGGCTGCTGACTTCCACATGTGTCTCTTGGAGATGACATATGTGAAAGGATTTGGTTCTTCAGTGCCTGGCACAGAATACACCTTTATAAAAAAAAAGTCTCATTTACTCCTAGGAGAAACAGCATCACCTTGGCCATCCTTTATAAAATTGAGGGGGAGGGTACGGCACGAAGGACTGGAGGCATTTCATTTCCAAGTCACTGATAGGGTGACCAATCATCCTAGTTTGCATAATCTCCTGGTTTTAGCACTAAAAGTCCCAAGTCCTGGGAAACCCCTCACTCCTGGGGAAAGTGCATGTCTCCCTGTGTCAAAACCAACATCTCTGAAGTAGGCTTTCCCGACCCCACACTATAAGCAGATTTTTATGCTATTTTAGTAACAGGTTTCACACAGCATTCATTGCAATGCCTTGTATCACTACAGAGGAGGTGGGTTTTGTACTTTCCAATGTAGCCTTGAGTTTTTCTGGACTTATGTATTGCAGAAAGGATCACTGGTGTTCTGAGGAATGCTGCTTTTTGTCCACACTGTAGAAACAATTTGTTTCTGTGTTGAACAGAGCACTAATGTGGTTCATTCTGCATCCAGACAGTGGCCTGGAGGTGTTAGCTGTGCAGCGGGTCTCAAAGACCCAGGCTTGGCAACGAACAGGACGGGCTGGCAGAGAAGAAAGCGGCATCTGTTACCGGCTCTACACAGAAGATGAGTTTGAGAAGTTTGAGAAGATGACTGTGCCAGAGATCCAAAGGTAGGCCAAGGTGCTCCCACACACCTGCCATTTGTCCCCACATGCTCCTCTCATCCCAGGGCTGCAGTTTTCACTAACTCAATTGACTGTCTGCCTCACTGACTAGAGAATCAAGAACAGGTGAACGAGTCGTCTCTCTCTTTTTAGGTGTAACCTGGCGAGTGTGCTGCTACAGCTCCTGGCAATGAAAGTCCCAAATGTGCTCACCTTTGACTTCATGTCCAAACCGTCTCCAGGTAAATGGAATCTTTAGTGCAGTGAAGGCATTCAAGTAGACAACAGCAAATGAATACTCCCCCCAAAAGTGTTTTGGTGGTCTCCTTTGTTTCATTTCATTTGACACATAACAACACAGACGCTTTCAGAGAAGCGTCTCAGAATCTGGAAGGATGGCTCCTGTGCTGGCTGTCTGCACTGTCCTGGTGCAGAAACAGTGTCTCCCCAGAGGCTGACAGTCAGGTTCTTGACCACAGGAGGCAATGAAGGTAGTCAGGTGGATCTGTGGAATACTGGAGGAACTAACAGCATTGTAGTTTTACCAGTAAAAAGTTAAAAGTTTCTTTGTTTGGGGCTGGAATCTTATTCCTGCCTTTCATTAACAATCTGTATGGGGAAATTTTTTTTTTAATTTTTGGTGGTAGGTTTAGCACTTGGCATCTCCTTAGTACACCATTTTCCTTTTTTCTCCTCTTTTTTAAGTGAAGAAATGCAATTGGTTAAAAAAAAAAAAAAGTAGACAATTGATAGGTATACAAGCGCTCCTCTCCCACCTCCAGGTCTTAGTGTCCTGCCCCTAACACAACCACTATGACCACTTTCTAGTTGTCTCCTCGAGAAAACTTATGCTTGTGCAAGTATAGATAGCCTCTTAAAACACAAGTAACAATTTCACATTGTGCACAGTTCTATACTTTTTTTCCCCTTTCAATTACTAAATTCTTACATGCAAGGGAAGAACATACATGTAAGATAGAAGATGTAGTAAACCAATACCTACCAGTGTCCTCAAATCCCTCCCTGCCATACTTGCTTGCTTCCTACTCCCTCAAGGTGACCATCCTCCCACATTTTGTATGTAATTTCCTGGTTTTTCTTTAATGTTTCACTAGATACCCATGTGTCCCTTAACAATGCTGTTTCATTTTACACATTTATGTCTCAACTTTTCAGCAGCTTTTCCTTTTTTCCCATCACATTTTGTAAGGCTTATTTGTGTTGATGCATTTTCACCATTAGATGCTATTCCATTCTATGAATAAGTCAAATTACATTCATCTATTCTATTGGTAGACATTTGCACATTGCTTTTTTCATTTAATACATTTTACAGATCAGTTCCTCTCAGTGTCTATATATTTATTATACTCTCAGAAATGTTTTTTTGGTTCTTTAATAGATAATGTATTTACATGATTCAAAATTCAAACAGTATAAAAGAGTGCCTCTAAAGTACCTGCTACTTCCATCCTTGTGTGTATGTTTCTGGAGTGCAGGTATATCTGCACTGACAATGAATATCTGTGGATAAAATTCATAAATGATGTTGCAGGATTTAAATTTATGTATAGTTTGCCAAGTTATAGGTCATTGTTTTAGAAGAGAATTAAACTGAAGGCAGTCATGTCATTAACAACTCTGAAAAGTATGTCACAGGGAGAGTGGTGGTTTTGATCTTTGCTGTAGTTTGATGGAGAGTATCCCATCAAACAGAAGCTCCCAAAGTACTGAGGCAGCTGCAATTTGTGGGGGGGTTTGGATTTTTGGCTCCTTTTTTATGTTTGTTTCTCTTTAGATCATGTACAGGCAGCCATTGCCCAACTGGACCTGTTAGGTGCTCTCGAACATAAGGATGACCAGCTGACTTTGACTCCAATTGGAAGAAAGATGGCGGCTTTTCCTTTAGAACCCAAATTTGCCAAAGTAAATGATACCTTCTCCTCAGTTCCTTTTCTGTATATTACAGGTTAGCCATCCCAAAGTAGACTTCTCATCCCAATGCTTCTAGATTAATCTTCATTTTTTTCTCTTAAATAATTATCAGTCCTTTCTTTGCATCCAACACTGATTTATGTTCTATGTGGGCTTCAAACTCATATTAAATCATGAGCCCTACTCAATAGAAATTTACAGTCCTGCTTTACAAGAGAGTAAAATAAGAGTAACAAACATAGTCATGGCTTTAGAAATAACTCCTCTTTAACTTCTTAGAAAGGAAGTTGCAAATGGAATATACAGAAATAATCTAGCTAGAAAAAAATTGGTTTATACAGTTTTTAATTTTGATTTGCAGACCATTCTCCTGTCCCCCAAATTCCACTGTACAGAAGAGATTCTGACCATTGTGTCCCTGCTATCGGTGGACAGTGTTCTCTATAACCCTCCCTCCCGGCGGGATGAAGTGCAGGGTGTCCGCAAGAAGTTCATATCCAGCGAGGGTGATCACATCACCCTGCTCAACATATACCGGACCTTCAAAAACATAGGCGGGAATAAGGTGAACCTTGTCTTTTTCCTATTTTCAGGGATGCAATTTGAATGTACCTTTGGTTTTGGCTGAGTCATGTAAAGAATCACAAAAAGAATGCCAGATATTATTTCAGAAAACATACAGAGATAATACCAGGGAAAAAATACAAGTCTTAACCTTCCACTCTGTTTAGTGACCCTATTTCTTAGCTACAAAATGACGTTTTTCCCCGACTTGCTCCTCACTTTCTGTGTAGCAGTTAGTGTTTGTATGACGTTTCATTTCCTCTCAAGTGAAAATGACAATATATTGTTTCATTTATTAATGAAACCAGTAGTTATGCCATAGTATGCATATTTTAACTTTGTCTGCATTCTACTACAGTTAATTCCTTTAAAAAAAAAAGACACCACCCATTTTTAGTAGGTAAAGTTTTTTTTTTTTTTTAAAGATTTACTTATTCATATAAGAGCTAGGGTACAGGCCAGAGATGATGGGGGGTGAGAGGATTCATCAGAGACAGAGTGAGGAACAGAACAGGCAGACTGACTGAAACACACTGCTGAGGGGAGCAGCTGACAAGATAGGAGAGGTCGCTTCGCCATGTGGATTTCTACCTGGCTGGCTGGGGATCGAACTCATGCTGCAGAGGCTGCGGATTGTTTCACAGTGTGGTGCTTAAGCCTTTGCGCCACCAGGAAGGCCCAGTAGTTAAAGTACTTTATAAATATTTTGCCATATTTGCTTTGATTTGTTTTTCAAAAGCTATCGCAGAAACTCTGATCTGCTCCTTTCCTAGTCCTTCTTTCCCTTAGCCACTTACCCTCCCTTAACCACTGTCTTGAAGTTGGGTGTGTTTCCATGGGTAAAAGAATGCCTTTACTTTTTTTTTTTTTTTAATATATATTTAAAGAACAGCTTTATTAGGGAAAGGGACAGAAGAATAAAGACACTTGCATAGACACAGGCGGGCAGGAAGAGCTGCCCTGAAAGGGACTGGTTTGCCAAGAGAGGCCCGCATGGTTGCAGGTGGGTGGCCTTGAGGAGAGCGGCCTCTGCTGAGGTAGGTCAGTGAAGAAAAGCCCACCATGGTAGAGGTCACGGGCAGTCAGAAAGTTGCTGCCCTGCAGAGGAAGAGAGTTGGTGAAGAAAAACGCCTGCATAGGCACAGGTGGGCAGATGGAGTGCTGCCAAGAATACCTTTACTTTATATCCATGAACATTATATACTAGGGATCTTTTTGTACACTACCCTTTGTAGCTTGTTCTACTTCCAGCGCTGCAGTGAACATCTATATGTGTCTCCTGCACAGGGAGAATGTCGCTGGGTGCCAGCACCCAGGAGTTGACCTGCTGGTCTTGGGTTGCTGCATCCAGCTTTACCAGGCTGGCATGTGGCTCCCCAAAGGTCTCAGTACTTCTTTATACACTCCACAGTGTGTAAGAGTTTCTATTTCCATCATCCTTTCCAACGCTTAGCTGAATTTTTGCCCAGTTAGATGTGTACTAGTCTCGTTTTAGAATACATTGCCGTGATTCTTACAGAGAATCCCTATGTAAGTTTGTTGGTCATTTATAGTTATCTTCTGTGAGATTTCCGTACCTTTGGGTTGTTTTTTTTTTTTTTTCCTGAATTGTTGGGTTTTTATATATTCTGGGAGTTCTCATTCTTTATTGGGTATAATGCTTGAAATATTCCAGTTTGTAGCTTTTTTCATGTTCACTTGACATAAGGAAATGTTTAGTTTTAAGGAAATATAATAAGGAAGGAAGTTTAACTTACTAATAGTTTTCCTTTTGGGTTGTGCATTTTGACATATTTTTCCACATTTACTGGAAATTGAAGTAACTAAAGTTTTCACCTAAGTTCAATTCCATACTAAAAATTGTTGTATTTATTTTTCTTGACAGAAAGGAGAGAATTGAAATACTTTTTTTTTTTCCTATTCAGGACTGGTGCAAAGAGAATTTTGTCAACAGCAAGAATATGATGCTAGTAGCCGAAGTCAGAGCACAGCTGAGAGACATCTGCTTAAAGGTATTCTTTCTTGCTGGTGTTCTTGAGGGTGGACTAAGCTATCACTTTATTCTAGGTGAAAATAAGGATGAAAGTTGTAAACCTTCCTCTATTTTGGTCTATTTCTTCATAGCCCTGCTTTTTAATAGCATTTTTTAACAGTTACATGCTATAATTTGCACTAACTTTTTAAAAACTTTATTTTTTTTTAAGATTGATTTATTTATACATGAACAGTCTGACACCAGAGCCAGAGCGGAGAGCAGAGCAGGCAGTGAGAGACACTGTGCACCAGGACTCAGAGGTGAGGGAGCAGATCGAACTAGGTTGCAGATGGAGCAGATTGATTTATTTATACAAGAACTGGGGTACAGACCAGAGGAGCAGGAGGGTGAGAGAGTGCACCAGACTCAGAGGAGGGAGCAGAATAGGCAGATGGAGCAGTGGGCGCGACAGGAGTGGTCTGTCACGCCATGTGGAAATCTCCCTGGCCGGCTGGGAATCTAACCTGTGCTGCAGAGGCTGCGGACAGCTTCACAGCACTGTGCTCAACCCGCTGCGCCACCGGGGAGGCCCTTTTTAAAACTTTAACTGCATTTCCCAATGTTATTAGAATTCTTTCTAAGCTTTTTTCAAGTGGGTATGTCTTTATCTTTCAGGTTACAGAAGTAATCTTTATTGTTAATAAAAGTTGATGCAGTGCACAAAACTTAATGCCTAATGCTATAAATTTAAAAGTCTACCATAGCCCCTTCAAGGATTAGCTACTGTGATATGGATCCTTCTAGTATTTTTTTCTGAATTATATATTTTTTGGTTTTTTTAAAAACTTTTGTTTTCTAAGATTTATTTATCTATGCATACAAGAACTGGAGTAGAGGCCAGAAGTGCAGGGGGTGAGAGGATTCATCAGAGACAGAGTGGGGAGCAGAACAGGCAGATTGACTGAAATACACTGCTGAGGGGAGCAGCGGGCAAATCAGGAGAGGTCTGCTGTGATATGTGGGTAACTCCCTGGCTGGGGGATCGAACTCGTGCTGCAGTGGCCACGGATAGCATCCATAGGTTGCATTTTAACCCCTTGCGCCACCAGGGAGGCCCTGGTTTGTTTGGGTTTTTTTTTAAGATTTATTTATTTATGCATATGAGAGCTGGGGTATAGGCCAGAGCACCTGGGAGTGGGGAGTGAGAGGGTTCACCAGAGATAGAGTGGGGAGCAGAACAGGCGGATTGACTGAAATACACTGCTGGGGAACAGCGGGTGAGACAGGAGAGGTCTGCTCTGCCATGTGGGTTAGCTCCCTGGCCAGGGATCGAACTCATGCTGCAGTGGCTGTGATAGCTTCATAGTGCTGTGCTTAACCCCTTGTGCCACCAGGGAGGCCCAAGATTTTCTTTTTAAAACAAATACAGCATACATTTTATTTTGCAACTTGTTTTCTACTTGGTATAGTTCTTGAATACTTAGTGTGTCTGAGCTGTCTTTCAGTCTCTGTCATATGCCTATCTCATATTTTTTTTTGTAACTATATAGCATTTCATTATATTCACAATCTAATGATTAAATTTAATTTAATCAAATTCCCAATGGTGGTCATAGGTTATGCTGTAATGACCATCCCCCTGCATATGTATTTTGCTCCAATGTACACAGAATAAATTTCTAGATAAGTAATTTTGATGGGCATTGCCAAATCATCCACCCAAAATTTTTCTGTCAACTTATATTCCCACTTAGAGTACATGATCTTTTTTGATATTAGAAAAAATAGAGATACTGAGACACAGTATCTTAAGAGACAATCTGAAGGAACTATATATATATGTATATGTATATATGAATATATATATATGAATGAATAACTTTGTTGAGAAGCCAGTAATAATTAACAATCACTATTGTTTATGAAACACTTATTAAGGCATTGTTCTAAACACTTTTCGTGTAGTTGCTTTATTTGAAATTCTCACTTCCCCTCTATGAGGTTAATTCTGTTATTATCCAAGTTTACAAATGAAACTAGAGCCTAAGGAAATTAAGTAATTTGTCCCAAATCAAACAGCAAGTGAGTGCTGGAGCAGGCAACCTGGAAAAAGAGACCATCAGTTAACTGTAGTACTCTAGGGCTTCCTGGAGGTGGTGACAGCTGAGCTACATCTTAACAAATGAGACAGAGTATCTTCATTGGGCCAGGAGAAGTTGGTAACAAAGAACAAAACCCCTTAAACCATCTTCAAGAGAAAAGGAGGGATAAAGAGTTATCTCTGAGAACCTATGGGCAGGAAGTACACAGGGATCAGAATAAGGAAACAGATGAAGACATCAGGAGCCAGGGCAACTTTCTCTGGGCCTGCTAGTCCTCTTGTTTTAGCTCTGTTCTATGTGCTTCCTCCCCTCTTACCTTCTGCCTCAGCCTGCAAGATTGCTTTCCCTGTCCTCTCCACCCAAGAGACTAACAGATTGGTCAGACGCTCCATGTTCAGACTTTTTAAGTGCCTGGAAGTGAGAAGCTGGCCCAATATAAGCAAAATAAGTGTCTGCCACTAGTCCACTCAGCTCTGGCCAGGGTGTGAGGTGACATGACCCTCTCAACAATGATGGTAGAGCAAGGAAATTGATTGATAGCTGGCATTTCTACTCCAGCACTGAGGGTGCAAAAGCAGCCCCAGAACAGGCCTCGGTAAGAGAAGGCAGTTGACTGTGGAGTTCCCCAGGATGCTCAGGGTGGCTCATTCATGGCTGCACAATAGGAAGCTTGCATGGTTTTGCCAGGGACAATAGAGACATTGAAGGGTTTTGAGTAGATAAAGAATGACTTGAGTTATGCTTTAGGAAGATTAATTTGGCAGCAGTGTGTGGGATGATTTGGAGTAAGGGGATGATGATGTAGTCAAGGTTAGAGGGGAAAGCCTTCCTCCCTGGGGTAGTGAATATTTCAGTGAACATGTGGGATGCCGGGTCACCCAACCTTACTGGGTCACCTAACCTGTTAGTGGTCTGGCGCTGATATCACCATCTTCCCCCTAGTCCTGACTAACCCATGCTGCTCTTTCCCTGTTTCTGTTGTTGTTCTTCAGCTGTGCTTATGTCCATCCCTAAGGCATTTGAAGTCACCACCTTCAAATGTCAGCATTCACTTTGTTGGGCTTGCACTATGGGCTGCATTTTAGGTACAGTTGCTCCAAATACTATGTAGTGCTGAGCAGTATTTTTGTTCAGGGTCTTTTATGTACCTCATTTCCTCTTGAAACAGATGTCAATGCCGATCATGTCATCCCGAGGAGACGCGGAGAATATCCGCCGCTGCCTGGCTCACAGCCTCTTCATGAGCACTGCTGAGCTTCAGCCAGATGGCACTTACGCCACCACGGACACCCACCAGCCTGTGGCCATCCACCCCTCGTCTGTCCTCTTCCACTGCAAACCAGCCTGTGTAGTGTACACGGAACTGCTCTACACCAACAAGTGCTACATGCGAGACCTCTGTGTTGTGGATGCCGAATGGCTGTACGAGGCTGCCCCCGAGTACTTCAGGAGAAAGCTGAGGACCGCCAGGACCTGAGCCAGCCCAGGACCTGCCAGAACTGTGGGTGCCTGGATGCTGGGGCCACATCCATCCTCCTAGCAGACTTCTGGGTCAGCATCTAGAAAAGAGGCAAGTTAATGTAGCAGAATGTGCCTGACTTTGAGGAGCTTGAAAGCATCCCTGTTTAAACTCCTAAGGCTGAACTATGTAAATTTGTACATACATTCATACTTTGGAAACTTAGAATTATGCTTTTGGTTTTTGAGGGGTGACTTAGTTGACTTCTGAGCCTCACTTTCCTTACCTGCCAAATGGGGATGGTAATAATAATAATAATAATAATAATATAGAGTTGGGGTCATATTAGAGAAAATGAATGAGTGAAAGTGCCCAGAGCTAAACCCTGGCCATGATAAATGCAGAATGAATTGTGAGCCAGTGTGCTTGATGCTGTTGCTTTCTACGTGGTATGAATTCAGCACAGCAAAGAACCCTAGAGATCGTAACTGAGTGGGAGTTTCTGAAAGGGACCATAGTAGGTCAAAAAACTTGAATATTGTACTTTGATTTATTTTAATGTCTATCTCTATGAAGCTTTTAAATAGAAAACATTAAAAATTGACTTCTGTAGAAGTCTCAGTAGGAAGGTGCTGTGGTCTCTTACCTCAGGGGCTTGTTGCCCCTCCTAGGCCTCATTCCCCAGGGTGTGAAGCTCTGTCTTGCTCCCTCCAAGCGAACACCAGTAAAGGAGGCCCTGAGGCCACTGCAGCTTTTTTGTTTTTCTTTCTGAAATCCCTTTTCCTTCCCTTTAAGGACTTGGGGATATCCTGACTTTGCTACTAACTGTGCTAGTCACCCCTCTCCAGCCCTCAGTTTCTACGTTTGTCAGAGAAAATTAGCGTGTCTCCACAGTCTTTTCCTGTTCTCGTATTTTGAAAAGGAAGAAGACAAAAAGGTTCTTAGCTATTTAATTATCAAAAGTATATAATCTTTCCCCAGAGAATCTTCTGCCCTAGAAAAAGGCACGATTTGATCTTTTCATTGTACTTATTAATTGGGCTAAACACATGTGTGCAGTATTTGGTTATTACTTACAAAATAAATCATGCAAGTTATAAATTGGGGGCCAGATTGCCCAAAAGACTCTCAAGGCAGTGGATGTTCTCTTTACTCTAGGTCCAGTGAGCTCTCCAAGCCAAAGCACCCCCAATCCAAGGCTCATTTGTCTGTGCTCTTGGCTTTCCAACACTAGCTGTGTGTGGCCTGAGCAGTCAAGCTTTTACCCAGTGTTCAGGGTGAGAACTTTATTTCTGTTAGTAGTAGTTAAATTAGGCCAAAGAGAGTAGACAAATGTGTATCCTATCTTACTGAATTGTTAGACTTCACCTGACTTTCCTCAAATGACTTGTTTTTACCATTGCTCACTTTCTGAAGTTTTTCAGAAAATTTAAGTATATTTTTCTCATTTATTTAATGGAGGCCTAGGATGTTTAATCTGAGTTGGTAAAAGAAAATATACTTTTAATAAAACAGTCATCATACTGGCAAGAAATGGGGAGCAGGGGTGCGTTTTATCTTCTTCAGCAAATTCTCTATCTAGAGACTTTTTATGGGTCAAGTAAAACTTAACTTGAGAGTAATTTATGTCCAGTTTAAGTACCTGAAGCTTCTGGAAATGTGTATTTTCTGAGCACGAGTAAGGGGTAAATAACTTCTAAGTAAATATAAGTAACTTCTTAGCTTTAATGTTTCTGTACAGAAATATGTTTATCACTGTAATATTCTGGTAGAGTTTTAATGTTAGTTTTTTATTGGGCTTTTTAAAGAGTTCATTTTTAACATAGCTGCTCAGGGATTAAATCAGATTGGAAACCTCATTCTGACTCCACATATTACTACTGGGTATTTTGAGCTGCCGGTACTTTAAACTTTCTTAAGAAAGTTGTGTTTCATGATGATGCTACAGTGTAATCTTGAGCAACTTTGTCAATTGGTAAAACCTCTAAGGGTGTGACACCTTTTTTCCAACCTGTGAAATTCACATCTGGGTGAATGACTGGCTCCCATGAGCAGCTTTGTGTCATAGCACCCCAAGCCGCTAGCATGCCGCAGGAGTTTGTCTTCTAGTAATTACAGGGGTGAAAGATCCAGAGCAACACAGATTCCATTGCAGGGAGAGAACTGCCTACACTTGAGCCTTGGTAAGAACCCTTCATATTGCCGCTCTGCTGGTTGTAAAAGAGATGCCAGGAAGGAGACGTGTTTTTGCTCTGAGTAAAAGTGATGATGGCTGTGACACATACAGTTAATTGAGTGATCGGGAACTAGGGCCAAGCATGGAGGATATACCTTGAGCATATAAGGAAGACACTATGCTAATGGGGAAGGAAGGACTTTATTATATATTTTGTATGATCAGAATATCATAACTTGCAGGAAAAGAAAAAGATCAAGTTGATAAAGGTTATATTTTTAGTCTGTTCGTATTCAGACAGACATAGCTCTATAGAAACATCAGCTCTTGTATATATGTATATATAATGCTCAGATTTGCACATGACTATCAAAACCATTAAAAGTGAATCTTGTACATGATGTGTGTGGCTTCTTTCCCGCGTCTCCTTTCCCTTCTTCACAGAACGCTGCTTAGTATATAGTATTAGTCTTTGCTGCTATTGATAATTTGGGAAGACTTTCTTGTTACCTTATATAACCTGTGTCCTGGAAAGGTAGAGCAATCTTAACCAAAACCTGTTGTGATCCACTGCTTATTGTTGCAGAACAGTGCCCCATCAAAACCAGGGTGCAAGGTTGGAGGTGAGAAAGAGTTAATTAATCTGCTGTTCAGGGCGTGGGTAGAGAGAGGCCGCCAGGTAAACCTGCAGTGCCAAGAGGCTTCTGCTGAGGGAAGAATGAAGCACAGGGGCTGGCCCACTCAGGCCTGAGTACCATCTGTTTCTTGCAAGAGAGGGCTCCAGGGAGGTCTCAAGGCACATGACCTTGGCGGCTGATATTTTGGGAGTTGGGGCCTGCAAGAGGGCATTCCACGAAGCCAGAGAAGCGGCTTTGAATTTGGAGAATGTAAGCTGCCGGAGAGAGAACTGATGCTGGCCAAATTTAAAATTAAAAAAATAAAAATAAAAAAGGCTTAACACAAGAGACTCCCGCCCGCTTGGCTAAGGACCCTAGTCAGTTTCTGAACCTCCCGGGAGGCTGCCCCGGAGCGCCCAGCAGGGGGCGCAGCGCGCGCCCCGCCCAGTAGCGTCAGGCTGGCAGGCGGCCGGGCGGAAGCACTTCCTGGGGGGGCGGGACTTCCGCGGGCGCGCGCGGTCAGGGGGCGTTTTGGCCCGGGTCGTCCTTCCCACCCGCACGTGTCCGCCGCCGCGATGCTTCCTCTGCTTCGCTGCGTGCCCCGGGCTTTGGGCTCCGCAGTCGCCGGCCTTCGCGCCGCCGCGCCCTCCCCGCCGCTCCGGCAGCTGCTGCAGCCGCCGCCGCGTCCGTGCGCCCGGCCCTTCGGGCTGCTCAGCGTGCGCGCGGGGTCGGTGCGGCGGCCCGGCCTCCTGCGGCCTCGCGGCCCCTGCGCCTGCGGCTGCGGCTGCGGCGCGCTGCACACGGAAGGTGAGGGTGGCGCGCGAGGGGTGGAAGCGATTCCTAGATGGGCGAGGGGACCCCAGGGTGGGACAGCGGATCGTCCAGAGCAGCCCCCCATGTCTGGACTTCCTGATTCTTCCCCACTGATTGGCGAGCAGCGGGTTACTTCCTACTGTTAGCCCTTTTCCCACCTCCCTGCCTCCGAGAGTTTCATTGTGGGAGAAATACAACAACCCTGGAGGCCTATTTTATCCTTGCTCTCTGGAAAATAGAAGTTTGGGAAGGCTGAGGGCATGGTTAAAAGTAGTGTGCTTGTATGTCTTTTGGCAAGGATAAAACTTGGTAACTGGGAATTTGCTTTTATAGTGACCGTTGGTGATGAGCCGATTTATTTGAAATCACTTTTCTAGAAAGAGCTCGGCTTTCCACTGAGTGTTAAACAGTGTTTTTACAGATGAAGAAACTAAGGCCCGTCCCAAGAACAGCTAGTAGGAACCGTCCAAGTGCTGCAGTACATGGGTGTCCTTTTTAGGTTTTAAACTGATTGACTTTTCTTTTTCTGTATCATTTCGATTTTCACTGCAGGGGACAAAGCTTTTGTTGAATTCCTGAATGATGAAATTAAGGAGGAAAAGAAGATACAGAAACATAAGTCCCTCCCCAAGATGTCTGGAGGTTGGGAGCTGGAGGTGAATGGGACAGAAGCTAAATTAGTACGGAAAGTTGCTGGAGAGAAGTAAGTTCTCGGCTGGGGACCTGGGGACACCAGGGGATTAATCTGTGACCTTGCAGGACCTGCCCTAGGTCATCTCCAGAACAGCCTTGTGTTATAGTGGGTGCTTTGGCATGGTTCCCAAGAGACAGGATTCATTTGGATAACTTCATAGGCTCCAGACACAATATGACTGAGGTGGTTACTGAAGAGTCAGTGAGTGTCAGTAATTCCTTAGCTAGTAAGGAATTAGCATAAAGGTTTGTATCCCAACACCTATTGGAACTGAAGAAGCTTCATTCGATGAGCCATAGTGGTGAAGGGAGTCCTTCCCCTTCCTAAAACCTTTTCAGTGTAGACAGAATCAGCTTGAGCTCTAGTTGACATGCTGACTCACTACAGGCTCTGGCGGAGTAAAACTCCCCTGCTCTGCTGGCTGATGTTTATGGTAGGTGAAAATGCAAGCTCGGTAGTTCACATGTAACAAGATTGGGTTATAGTATAGTGAGGACTGCCATTAGAAAGGTGGGGAGTTGGGGGCCTAGTTTAGAGGTCTCGGATCCATTTTGAGCGAACTTATGTATATTTTATGCTGTGGGGTTCTGTTGTGTGGTTTTGGGGGAGTGTTTTTTCCCCATACGTAGGTCAGTTGTATATCCTGCAACTTCGATTATACCATTCTCCTAGGATAAGTCATAGCCAGTTCTGGGTCATTATCAATAATGTTCTAATGAATATAACTACATTTCTGTGGCCAGGGGGTCAATTTGGTCAGCACTATTGCAAATTAGACAAATTGTGTGCCTGAACCTCAAACCACCATTTTTTGTATGGGAGTGGCTTCCTGGCAAGGCAGCCAATTACCATAGCTTCAGGGGCAGCAGTTACAGTGCACAGTTGTGTGCTGTTGTTCTGCTTGGAGGTGGGTGGCCCTGCAGTGCTAGTTCCAAGCCTTACGTCACTGGAATTTTGACTCAAACCTTGGAATATGATTTGTCAGGTGAGGGTTCTTACACCTTAAAATTGTAAGTAGTTGATATCTCTGGGCTGCTTTTGATTATAACACTTCCCACAAATATTGTATAAAGAGTGAATCTGTACTGCAACATATTGCTGTTTATGAGGCCTTCCCTTCCTGAGGCCAGGGCTACTCTTGCTTCTGTAAATAATTCAGATGTACAGCCAGCTACGACAGAGACATTGTTTCAACAAGTATTTTAAACTGTAGCGGCCTCTCTCTCTCTCTATATATATATATATTTTTTTTTTTAAAACTATTTTACCAATACTTTATTTGCATGATTAAGGTTAAGTAGTAAAACAGTAAGATTATACAATAAAAATATAAACACATGCTCTTTGCAGAATTTTTTTTTTGGGGGGGCCCTCAGTATTTACTCAGGTAAAATTATACTGTTCCCTTTTGTCTTTGTAGGATCACTGTCACTTTCAACATTAACAATAGCATCCCACCATCTTTTGATGGGGAGGAAGAGCAGTCCCAAGGGCAGAAGGTTGAAGAACAAGAGGTAAGCTTGTAACACCGTAATCAGCCTTTACTTCAGAATACTGGCAGGCTCCTTACTCCAGGGGCTTAGAGGAGCATTTTCTTTCTTTCTTTCTTTTTTTTTTTTTTTTTTGTTTTTTTTTGTTTTCATTCCTGTAATGCTTCCAGGAGAGAGAAGGCAAAGGACAACCATCCTTAGGACTTTACTTGTGAAGTGCTTATGAAGAGCAGTTTCTGGCCACCTTCAGTACCAGTACTTTGTGGCCCCTTTTCTCTCCTAGGAACTAAGTAAATTGCTATCTGCAGGCTTAGGCTTTATATTGGCCTGGGCTCTCTACATGGAAAGGATTGAAACTGTCTTGCCCCTTCCCCTGATGGCGAGATGTTTGATGTTTGGAGTGTTTCCAAGTGGCAGATGGCCCTAACACGCAATAGACACTAGCTATTCAGCCCAAGGTTGCAAGAACTTTTAACAGCAGTGATTTTGGCAAGGAGAGATCTTTTTTTAGGTTGTAGGCCATTTTGATTGAACCTGGTCTTCAGGTATTTTAGAAAAGTACTGTGCCAGGTCTAGAAACCAGCTGGTATGATGGCCACCAGGTCCCTAGACTTTCCAAGTAAGCAGGCATTGGTATTCTCATGACGTAACACTGAACTTCTTGGTATGTCTCTCAGCCATGCTGACTAGGCTGTCCCTGACATTGAACAATTCACCATCAAGGGATATTATTCAGCCATTAGGATGGCCAGTTGGCCAGAAGCACTGCCTTTGATCCTGGACCATAATAAAGGGAGATTTCTAAAACAGCTGGAAAGAGGAGATCTTGGTTAAGTCAGCTCAGTGTGTAGATAGAATAACAGACCTGGGAGGACTGAAGAACTGTTAGGGTGAAAAGGATGTCCTAAAGCTAATTCCTTACAGGCTTTGTGGACTCCACCCCCACCCCAGGCCAAAGCCAAAGACACTGGGAACTCCAAATCCCATCACCACCAAAGGGAAGGTGGCTGGGACCTGAGGGTGGGGTTAAGCAGCCAAGTTGGTATAAAGCCAGACACGTGGGCTTTGGGCGGGTCCCCCATTTTGGCTCTCCGCCAGCTCGCAGCATCTGGCCAGCTCTGAGAGTGACTTTGGGTTTTCAGGACGGCGGATCGGGTAGGACACATTAAAGACTTTGTTTCCCTGTTTTCTCCCTGAGTTGTACATTTTCCTTATTTCCTTTTCCTTTGTAAATAAACCTTTTATTAACCTTTTGTGTGTGCCTGTAGTGGAGTATTCATAAGTCCCTTTTAAGCGTGCAGGTGAGGACCCACAGCCAGGCAACGCGTTCAATATCGGGGCTGTCCTATAACAGCTGGCGGCTGTTAACAGGTCCCAGCCACCTTCCCTTTGGTGGTGATGGGATTTGGAGTTCCCAGTGTCTTTGGCTTTGGCCTGGGGCGGGGGTGGAGTCCACAAAGCCTGTATGGAATTAGCTTTAGGACATCCTTTTCCCCCTAACAGAACCAGTCTGGAGCTCAGTTAATTAGCACACACTGGGCTTAATTCAAAGCCTAGTGTGTTCTTTCAAGTAGTGAGGTGCACCAGAAGTGAAAACACTATACTAAATACATGATATTCTGCCTCCAAAAACCATCTACAACTCTAGAAAGAATCAACAAGAAGAGTTCTGAATAAGCTGTTACACTGTGTGTGAAAGCATCTAGGCTGCTTATTTGGGAGCACTATAGCATGAGACTGTTAAATGACTAAATAATATCCTCATAGTGGTGGTCATCAGACCCCCTGAACTGTTTGAGACCCCTGTGGACAGTAGCCTATAATGACTCGTTCTATTCCCCCAGCCTGAATTAACATCCACTCCGAACTTCGTGGTTGAAGTTATAAAGAATGACGGCAAGAAGGCCCTTGTGCTGGACTGTCACTACCCAGAGGATGAGGTATGTAGGTGGTGGGGCATGCTAGCCCCCTGAACACCTGGGGAAAGCGAGTGCTTCCTGCTACTTCATGGTCCTTTTTAGCAGATACTAACATTTTCTGACTCAGACCAGCAAAGCAGAGGAAGAGGTGAGGAATGAGGGAGCAAAACCTTTGTTTCCCCGAATACTATTAGGTTGGACAAGAAGAGGAGGAGGAGAGTGACATTTTCTCCATCCGGGAAGTGAGCTTTCAGTCCACTGGCGAGTCTGAATGGAAGGACACAAATTACACTCTCAACACAGATTCCCTGGACTGGGTGAGTGTTTGATAAAGATGGGGGTGTTCCTGGTCCTGACCCAGAAAGAGACAAAGCAACATATTAATTATTGCAGAAGAAGTATTTTTCTCTTAAACTAGTCACCATCATTTCTCTCATTAGGCTTTGTATGACCACCTAATGGATTTTCTTGCGGATCGAGGGGTGGACAACACTTTCGCAGATGAGTTGGTGGAGCTCAGCACGGCACTGGAGCACCAGGAGTACATTTCTTTCCTTGAGGACCTCAAAGGTTTTGTCAAGAGCCAATAGAGGAGACACGATGCTGAACACCTTAATTTTATGGCAGACTTTGGCCAGTGAACAATATCTACTCTGAAGCCAGACAGGTGTACTTTGAAATGGTTTTCATCCTAATATCATGGAAAGTAATTCAAATATAAATTATTTCTGACCTCTTATTTACTATTCATTTGTTTCTTCTCTACAGATCTATTATTTCTAGTTTTTTGTATAACAATGATGGACAATAAAATTGGTTTATCTCCTCCAAGGTGATTTATCTTTTCTATTTCTAGTCCCTCCCCTGAAATCTATATAACAAACCACCAAAAACAGAGACATGAGAAGTTTTAATACAAAATAAATTATAAATAAAAGGTTTGTATTTACAAGGCCCCCTTCGCAGATGGAACCAGTTGTTTCCAACCCAGTAGAACGATGAGTCAAAACTGGTGCTAGAGGATCAGAGCCCAAGTATCACAAGCCTGGATTTAAATAGAAAGAAGTCAGCTTAAGTTGCATGCCATCATGAAAGTTATCTCAATATATGGTTAAAGATTTATTTATGCATAGAAGAACTGGGGTGTAGGCCAGAGGTGTACCGGGGTGAGAGGATTCTCCAGAGAGTAGGGAGCAGAAAGGTGGATCCACTGAAATACACTGCTGAGGGGAGCAGCAGGAGAGACAGGAGAGATCTGCTGTGTAATGTGGGTTAGCTCTCTGGATGGGATCAAACGCAAGCCCCAGCTGATAGCATGGCAGCACTGAGATTTAACCACTAGGCCACCAGGGAGGCCCCTCGGTGTATGGTTAAAAGTTGTAATCGGTAATGGTATTTAACATACAATTAGAATTCCTACAGGTGAGATGATGCTGAGGCATTTGCAATATTTTATATTATGTGATAATTCAGCTGTGTCAAAGAGGCCACTGCCAACCCTTGCTCTTGGGCTTCTCTGAACCTGGCCTGTAGTATTAGAACTACTGCCTTTGAAGCCATGGGAAGCAGTCTCTTCCAATCAAATTGTAAAGATGAACTAATCAAATGCCCTCACGTTCAGGAAATTGGTGACCAGAAAGATAATTCAAACTTCTGACAGCTGGGAGCTTTTATGGCCCAGCAGGGAGGTGAAATGTCTTCTACTTGAAGCAAGATTGAAAAAGGAATGTGTCACAAGGAGGTACAAACCAAGTTTGCCTACTGCAAGCAGAATTAGAACTTGGAGGTCCATTATTTCTAACATACCTTGGTCCCCCATTAGCTACTGAGTATAAAAACTGGTCCCTGGTATCTTGACAGCTCAGTCCCACCACCAGGACAAAGAATGCTGTCTACAATCTTGCTTATTTTTGCAGCCATCGGTAATATATGTGGCTTTCTGGTGGTCTGGCATATTCCATTCCTACACTCACCCTTAATCCACTGTCCCTCTCATATCAAATATTCCAAATACTTGTGAAATACATATTACCATCTTTAACCCATACCTATTTTTTACCTCACCCTGAATTACCCTATAGCCATCGCACTGGACCTCGAACCCATGGGTCCTTGATTTCCCCTTATGAGAAACCAGTACTTGACTGGCACAGTGGGACTCTACAGCATTTCAAATAAACTACTTTTCAAAATGCTGAACTCTGGGATAGCCTAATAAATACAATTTTGTCCTTTCGTTTCTCATCTTTCACATGATGAACCCTCCACACACACATACCCAATAATGGTCTCCCTGACCCCTCTGGAGCCAGCACTGTCAATCATGTCCCTATAGCCGCTGGAAGCACTCTCCTTCCAAATCTCTCCCAACTGGCTTTGCTGCTGCTCTGATCTGAGCTCCTGTGTGCTGCTGGTCTGGTGAGTGGACAACTGGGGTCCACAACAACTGCACTGTGGCTGCAGATGCACACTCGGCACCTAGGTAAGCCTTGGCCTCCTCTTCAATTGCCCTCCCCTTTCCCTCCAGCACTTGGGCTGAAACGTTCACACTCAAGGAGCTCTGTACTCCAGCTCTGCTCCACTACACTGCAGATGCCTCATTTGTTCATCTCACAGAGAAGGCGGAATCGAAAGCCATCTGACCTGTGAGGCTTCTACTCTCTCCCCTCCACCTTAACTCATTTCTACACATGTTCTGCACCTCCTACATGCCAAGGATTGGGAGTAAAGATAAAGATATAGTTGTTGTCCTCACAGACAAAGACACCAACTGCAGCAACGTTACAGGAACAGGGAACAGTGGAAACCCAAGGAGATCCTGGACCATTCTATGTGAGGGGCAGATTTGATTATCTAGTATATTGCAGTACCCAACATCTGTACAAATGATCCTTGAGCTGAGTGGGAAAAGCCAAAGGCACTCCAGACTGAATCACATGGAAGCCTGAGAGCACTTGTATATTCCAGAATCTGCAAGCAGTTCTAGATGATCAGAGACTAAACTGTATATTTAAACATTTGCCTGTTTCTAAGCTATCATTTCTAACAAGGTGGGAATAAAACCAGCCACTGAAACATTCACACCACAGGGCCCCAAGGGAGGCTTACCAGACAGCTCATGAGGAGACTGGCCTTTTCTTCTGTTCCTTCAGTGAGTGAAAACTGAGGTGTGTGGGGACAGTGTACACTGTGCTCATTCACATTGTCCTCTAAACAGGCACGGAGTTTCTGCTCTGTCAGCTGTGGAGACTGAAAAATAAGAAAGTTACACCACAACCTAATCATAGTCAATAGGTTGACAATTCTGATTCCTAATGCCAACTAATAACCCTGTGCAACTGGCTAACTGTGGTGGCTTGATTCCAAGGACCTTTAGAAATGGGCTCCTGACGGTGCTGAGAAGATGAGCTCCCTGTAACTGCCTCTCCAGATCAACCAACGCTCTCCACTCACACCATGAAACACTGACTCACTCACTCATCACACCGGAAACACCCAGAGCTAGTAGTAGGTCACCTTTTGGTCTCCCTCACGCTCAGCTGCCATGCGCTGAGTGTATCCTTACCAAGAACCAGCACTGTTTAGGCCCAGATCTGTTTGTGGTCATTGAATTTGCTAATGTAATGTAACTACATAATATGTAGGCCAACGAAAATAAAAGATTTTTTTTATATAAATGGGATGTTTAGGAAATGCTCAAAAAGCTGGGTTGCTTAAAAAAGGGTTGCTGAATTAGGTAAAAGGTGGGGAGAAAAAAGCCTAAAGGTGTGCACCCAGCATTTTTGATACAGTAACAGAACTTCTGAAACAAACAAACAAAAAAAAAAATAGACTTTAGCAGAGCCCTGCTAAAAGACTGGCAAACAAATTTACATGTTTGAAACTATGTTTCATTTTTTATAATTTGCAACTAACCAACTAGCAAACTTCCACTCCCCATGATGTCAGGTAAGAAGCCTCATTCATTCTGTGTTCAACTAAAGTTGAAATTCTGAATATCCATGTGACTAGACATAGGGATAATTTTATGGGAAATCAGAAACATGTGTTTCCAATTCTAAACTGGGCTGCCTTTGAAGATATTAAGCAATGCTACATGAACAGGTGTTCAACAATGGCTCTGGGGGAAAAGGCAAGGAATTACAACAAATGTGTAGCACTTGCCAATTTCCATGTTGGTTATAGTCTCACCACAGCTGATTTCAAGCCACCGGTGTGAACATAACATGAAGCTGGGAAGAGACACACACAACTGGCTCCACACACCACTGAAGGTTAAGGAAGTAGACGGTGGTGGGAAGAGGGAACACAGAATCTGTGTGGAACACTTACATGTGAGGGGATGTACAGGCCACACTGACACATGACCACACCACTTGCTATTCTCAGGTTGTACCTAGAAGCAGAATTGGGATCCCAGAGTCATGGCCAGCAGACCTGGATCTCCAAATCTTTCCAGGCAACAAATATGGGGGAAATCCCACTCACCTTGGAGTGGGGGGTGGGAAACAATAATGCTGAAAAGGTTTTGAAAACTCTTACTTTGTACATACAGGACAGATGAGGGAGTTTGCTTCCCACTCAGCCAGCATGATGCTGAGACACTTCTCATCAAACTGCAAGCTCTTCTCATACTCACTAATGATGGACTGTTCTGCAAGACAAAGGACAGCCGGAGTACTTTACCGTGCTTCACTCAGAGGACCATACCTTTAACGCTAAGCTTCACCTCCAAAGGCTTCCTTCACACAAGAGAAAAAACAGGGGTAAAATCATGCTCAAATCATTATTTACTGCTCCATCTTGTTGGCCACCCATCCCACATCTCTGAAGGCCACGGGAGGAGAAATATAGAGTGCTGGGATTCCAGGGCCAGCAGGAAAAAGAACACTTAACTTCTGACAGGAGGCCTACCCTGCTGAGTCTAAAGTAATCTGTTCCCCAATAACTGTATACTCAAAAGTCTACATTGTTCAGAACCTGTGTGTTCACACAGCAAACATGATACAATAATATCTAGGGATACAAAAATAAAAAAAGTAGGCAAGAGATGTAAAAATAAAAAAGACTGGTCTCTGCTCTTCATGTACTGTCCAGGCTCTAGTTAGAGGAGGGGTCAGCAAACCATAACCCACAGGTTACACCCAGCCCACCTTCTGTTTCTGTAAATAAATGTATATTGGAGGGCCTCCCCTGGTGGCGCAGTGGTTGAGCACTGGGCTGCAAAGCTGCCCACAGCCTCTGCAGCGCCAGTTCAATCTCCCGCCACTGGCGAGGGTCCCACATGGCGCATAGACCTCTCCTGCGGCGCCCGCTACTCCCCTCAGCAGTATATTTCATCAGTCTGCCTGTTCTGTTCCCCGCTCTGGCTCTGGTGAATTCTCTCACCCTCCTGAGCTTCTGACTGTACCCAGTGCTTGTATAAATTCAGAGGGTCCCTATAACTGAGTATAGCAGAACACAGGAAATCCTATCACTTCAAGATTTTTTAGTTAGTGAGACCTATGAGTGGTGAAGAACAAAAAAAATAAAATAAACTCAAGAATTTACAATTTAATTGCAGTCAATCACAAGTATTCTGATGTGATCCAATCACCTCTCATAAAATGTTTTTTAACCCCTACCTCCAAATAACAATAATACCAATCATTACAACTAACACTTACATGGCACTTACTATGTGTCAAATGCTAGTCCTTTGTGTATATTAATATCTTCACTAAGATTATTCTTATTAAAGGTAAAGAAACTGAGACTTGGGGAGATTATGTATTTTACCCAGAGTCATATAAATTAAACTAGTAAATCTAAGAAGTGAATCTTAGCAGTTTGGCTTTTATAGCGCCATGATAATAACTATTGTTTATTGAAAGCTTTTTTAATGCCAGGCACTGCTCTAAGTCTTCTTCATATATCATTTAATCCTACAAACAAACTTATAGGGTAGATCTATTTTTTCTTTTTTTTTAAAAGATTTATTTATTTTATACAACTGGAGTACAGGCCAGATGCGCAGGAGGATAAGAGGAGTCACTAGAGACAGAGTGGGGAACAGAACAGGCAGACTGATGAAATACACTGCTGAGAGGAGCAGCAGGAGAGACAGGAGAGGTCTGCCGTGCCATGTGGGACGGACCCTCGCCTACTGACCAGGATCAAACCAGCACTGCAGTGGCTGCGGTGCGGACAGCTTCACAGCGCTGCGCTCAACTGCCTATGCCGCCAGGGGAGGCCCAATCTATTTTTTCTATTTTACAGATGATAAGAACTAAGTCAGCAAAGATGGACAGAGAAAAAGGGGAGCTACGAACTAATCCTAATTAGAAAAAAGGTGAGCATTAGAGTAGATATAGGCTAAGGGTCACCTTGGTCAATCAGCTCCTGCTGAATTTCTTCCAACACAGCCAGGTCCATTGGTTCCTCAAACTGCAAGAGCAAGTACGGTCATCAGAGGTTTGAAGTTATATAGTCAGCTGACAAGCCCCACAATAATTCATAGTTGGAGCCTAGGTTTACCTGAGGAAATCAGTCCAAATTATGCAGACAATGGGGTAATGTGGTCATACTGAGAAGTCATCAACAAATGATTAAACTACCCAGTAATAAAATTATGGCACTATATTTTGGAGAACTGCTAAGTATAAATTCTGTCAAAACTATGTGTCCACTAGAAAGTTGCTAACTTCTATAAACCTCAGTTTGGGCCTCTGTAAAGCAGGAACAAAACCTACCCAGAGTGTTATTGTGAGCACTGTTTGTGATTATATAACGCAACATTTGGCATACCACAGAGCCAGTAGAAAGCATCAAGTAACATGGCATCAGTATAAATAGCCTGCGTGTATTCAAAGTAGTTCCCACATGTTTTCTTATTTAGTCCTCACAATACTAATAGTATCTCCTTGATTTTTTAGTGAAAACTAAAGCTCAAAGTGGCAGAATGGAGTGAAAAGTCAACAGCAAAACCAAGATTAGAATTTCAGAACCCTGACTTCCACTTTGGTGCTCTTTTTGATACATGGTAAATGATTTCCTATCCACATCCAGCTCCCAACTCTGGTTGAGATTAGAATCAGAAAATATCTGAAGACCTTTTTAAAAAAAGTTCCCAGGGAAAGGGAAGGAGTGGAGAGGGGGTGAGAACAAAGAGGGAAAGGGCACAAGGGTCTATGATGGTGGACTAGGGGTTCCTTGGTGGTGCCTGCACTATAGCCACACCTGAAGAGGGGGAGCCTTTCTATAATGCAAACAATGATATAAGCCAATATTAACTCAATAAAAATATTTACAAAATATTGTAGGGCTAGGAGACCTAGCCCATGCCTACTAACTCAAAATTTCCAGGGGTTGATCCAACAAATGAAACCTCTTTCTTTTTAATTTCATAAGTGATTATGACATAGCAGGTCAACACTCTGGTATTTAGGAATCAATAATCTAGAAGAATCTAACATTAAAAGTAGGAGAACCTGGGATAAAGACAGTTAGACTCCTGATTGGGGACTAGAGGGTAGATGGGGTTAGAAGACTTGGGTAAGTAGATATACAGACAGCAGGCATTCTTGGTGCTATGGCACCCTTCCTGAAAACACATATTCCAGCCTGACCTGAATCAAGGCCTCTGGAGAGCTCTCCATTAACTGCAAAGCATTCCACTCTTCTTCCATCACCTCCTGCACAAGAAGGGTTTTCTGCATGCTCCCTGGCACATTGCTTCCAGTCTGGCGGTATCTGTTCAGGACCCTGTCCCGGCTGTTTCTCATTCTCTCCAGGCATCCCTTGGAAAAAAGAGAAAAAGAGTTTTTTACTTTTATTTTTTTAAGAAAAGGCAATTCCATTAAAAAAAAAAACTCATAAATTAGTTGTGAAAACATTAAAGAAAATTTATAAACAAAATTTCAGCTACAAGCTTAACTATAGTATTTTTTTTTATATTACTCTCCAGTATTTATTCACATGTACACAAGTGAAATTATGGTTTACTCATGTATTTCCAAATCACCATATTTCACATTCTATCTTCAATGCCAACTTCCTTAAAGGTTGAATGATAATACCCCAACTGTGTTGTTATGGGACATTTAAGTAGCTTCGAAATACTTGCTGCTCTAGACATAGCTACAGTAGTTGCTTCCCTGTATAACAATGGTCCTCAACTCGGGGTGATTTTGTCCCCCAAAGGACAGTTGATAATGCCTGAAGACATTTTTGGTTATAACAACTCTAGTTGCAGGATTTCTAGGGGGTACAGATCAGGGACGCTCCTAAACATTCTACAATGCACAGAACAGCACCCCAACAACAAAGTGTTATCTCCCTCAAAATATCAACAGCCACAGCTGAGAAACTCTGCTTTAAACAGTCATTTCTAGAGCCTCCCCGGTGGCGCAGCGGTTGAGCGCTGGGTTGCGAAGCTGCCCTCAGCCTCTGTGGCGCCGGTTCGATCCCCGGCTGCTCCCCAGCCACCGGAGGAGGGTCCCACATGGCACGCAGACCTCTCCTGCCGCCCGCTGCTCCCCTCAGCAGTGTACTTCGGTCCTTCTGCCTGCTCTGCTCCCCTCTCTGGCTCTGGTGAATTCTCTCACCCTCCCGCGCTTCTGACTGTACCCAGTGCATGTATAAACAAAAAACAAACAAACAAATAAAACATGCCTCTATTTAAAAAAATAAATAAATAAATAAACAGTCATTTCTAGTGTTATTTTCCTGGGATATACCCACTACTTCAGGGATTCCTAGCGAGGTAGACAATATTGCTTACAGGCACCATGCAGAGTTCAGAATAGGTCAGAACTGAGGTAACAGCACAGCTCTAAGACTTAGCAACCGAGGCTTACCCGAGGCTCAGTTACATTCCCCAGGACTATGACTAATTTCCTTCTCGTATGAGGTACGTACACGGAGTGCTTCCCTCGGTGCCCACCTACCAACAACTACAGGTGCTGTTGCAGAGGTGCAGACGGGCGGTTATGAGCACAATCGCATTTAAAACAAACCCATACTCAAAGTTTCCTGGGACCGGACGGCCCCGGCTAATCCAGGGGTCAAAACTCCGGCGTGCGGGGAAGGGGTGGTGAAAGAGGGGCGGCACGACGGTGGCCAAGGCCCAAGGGGAGGCCTGGATTCCGGATCGATCCACTTTCACCGGCCAAGGGCTCCCAACACCTGCCTCACCCGGCAGGGCTGAGGCGAAGGCACGGGGGAGAATGGCTCCAGGAACGTGCTAGGGAAGTAACGACAGCCCAGCAAGGTTTCCTAAACCTCACACTTACTTGTCTGAAAGCCTCTTTCCAAGGTGGCGAGCCCACCTGCTTGTACAGCAAGCGATGGGGAGAACCCGAGGACTCTGCCATCTCCTTTCGCGGGAGTTGCGCCAGAAAGCCCCGCCTCCTTGTAGCGCGCAGAACTCTGGGAACTGTAGTTTCTGGGTGTTACGCTAACTAGATTGCAGGGAATTCTGGGAAGTGTCTACCAGCGAAGGCGGATTTGCTCAACTCAAGGAGTGATTGAAGTAGTAACATTTGTGAAGTCAATTCAACGTGAATGAGAAAGACTTGTTTGTTTTATTATTTATTTATTATCGAGCGAGTTAAGTCCTGAGGGGAGGTTTTCTACGTCTAATTTCACCCAGGTGGAGGCCCCAATAGGCAATTAGCCACACAAGCCGCGGGCTCCCCTCTGAGAACTACACTTCCCATAGCACCACAGGTTTCTCAAAACAAGCCTCGCCCTGCCGACCATTTTGTCCCACCCGCTTTGGCTTCTGAATAAATGATAGGCTGGCTTTGTCTTCGCCCCGCCCCTAACTCTAGCCGCGTGCTTCCGGAGTGTCCACTTGATGATTGGCCGAGGCAGTGGACTGCTGGCCGCGGATTGGCTGCGCTCAGGGGCGGGCAGAGCAACTGGAGTAAGAGGGACAGAGGAGCCAAGATGGCGGCGGCCGAGGGACTCGCTGGTGACGGGGAGCTGTGGCAGACCTGGCTTCCTGACCACATTGCCTTCTTGCGGCTTCGGGAAGGACTGAAAAACCAAAGCCCAGCGGAGACTGAGAAACCGGTTTCTTCATCATTGTCTTCGTCGCCGCCACTGCCGCCGCAGATGCTGACGAGAAACCTGGTGTTAGGCCTCGGCGGAGAGCTCTTTCTGTGGGAGAAAGAAGGCAGCTCCTTCTTGGTCGTTCGCCTTCGGGGCCTTAGCGGCGACGAAGAGGAATCGCCCCTCTCCCAGTACCAGGTACGGTCATGCTGGCCTTGGCAGTGACCTTCGGCTGGGATCTCGGCTAGTTTTATTCCCTTCCCATCCTGTCTTTCGTCGTCTGGTAGGTGTGCTTCCAGGCCCACTTCAGGTGGAAAAGTCTGTGTTTCCATTACGCTCTAGCATGGCCTCTCTTGCCCAGCTTCATTACTTTGACCAATGTCTCTCGACTCCGACACCGTGCCCCGCTGCTGTAGGAATTCGTGCTCTCAGAATACTCTCAAGATACTGAAATCCATGGCGCCTGGAGGAAGGGAAGGACCAATCAGTAAAATACCAGTAATGCAAGTACTCTGAAGAAAGACAAGGCAGGGTTAGGGGACTGAGAGTGTAGGTAGAGTTGCTATTTTCATTTAATTGGTCGTGAGTAACCTATGAAATAATAAGGATAACCCTAACTCGCTGTGGGTTATTGTATGAGCGTTAAGTTAGGTAATAGACTTAAAGCACTTTAGTGTCTGACATGGGGGGAGAATCCCTTGTGAATTCTTTTCCCTTTTAGAAAATTAAACTGTCCCCTAAATTGGGAAGGATTTTTTTGTTTGTTTTTGATAATCCAACAGCCTGTGAAACTGGGTCAGATTAAGAAGTATTCTAGACATACTATGCTTACACATTGCTTTACAGAACTGTTTATAATAAGTTGATTCTCTTTAAAGATTAAAAGTTTGGCACCCATGCTGCGTCTGTGTGCCATTATCTGATTCTTGTTGATGAGAAATGATTAACAAAGATGCCAGCAGTGTTTCTGCAGTTTAGATTATTGGTCAAAAAGTCTAGTTTTACGTGCAGTAAAATTTCATTTATAAGAGTAATTTTCAGGGCTTCCCCTGGTGGCGCAGCGGTTTCGCGCTGGGTTGCGACACTGCCCGCAGCCTCTGCTAGCTACGCCGGTTCGATCCAGGGCCAGGGTTGCACATGGCGGGCAAACCTCACCTGCGCTGCCGGCTGCTCCCCTCTGCTCCCCTCAGCAGTGTATTTCGTCAGTCTGTCTCTTCTGTTCCCTGCTCTGGCTCTGGAGAATTCTCTCACCCTCCTGCGCTTCTGACTGTACCCAGTGCTTGTATGTATGTATGTATGTATAAGTAAATAAATAAATAAATCTTTAAAAAAGAATAATTTTCAGATGCACAGTAAGAGCACCCTAAAACTCTGCAGCATTTGACCCAGTTATGATTGAATTATCTTTGTCTATCTGCTTTTATAGACTGTAAGCACCAAAGTAGCATCTGTGTCTGCTTTACTTAATTTGTTATCTCCAGTACACAGAGCACCTGGAATGTATAAGCTCAGTAAAAATTAGTGACTCTCTGAATGACCATTAATCCTTCAGAATCTCAAAAACTCAGATACACAACAACGCTTTGGTGTTAACAAAGCAATGACTTTCAAAACAAAGCCACATCTAACACTGTGATTATCATAAGTGATCTAAGAGAATAGATTCTGTAATGTGTCAATATGTAACAGAAGAAAAGTGGCCTGTGTTTGATTTGAGATAGGCTGTCAAAATCAAGCAGAAAGATGTGGGTTGAGAAGATAGGAAAGAACCACTCACCAGAGGAAAATAATTACTTGATTAGGGCCAGAAAGATGTGGGTTGAGAAGGCAGGGAAGAACCACTCACCAGAAAAAAAAATAGTTTGATTAGGGCAGCTAAAGAACAAACAAAAAAAACAAACTTACAGACATTAGTAACAATTAGTACAACTTTCATTATATTCAGAGTAATATTTTCTGAAAGGATTTTGGCTTAAGGTTATTCTCCATACTTAAGGGTAAGCAATTTGCAGCCTCATGATTTGTTACTGAAAGTAGGAAGAAAAGCAAATGGGAATTTGAGATGGCTATGAGAGAAGAGGAAATACCAATAGAAGCGAGTTTTTTTGAGGGCATATGATGCTGAAACAACTTATCAGAACCTCCTGAAAATATCGGTGTTCCATGTTAAACTTGCATAGGTCAAGCACCATTCTGTTTGCTGCAGAAGCACTTAAAGCCAATCTCTCTCTCACTGTACTGTTTCTAAATATAATAAATATCATTCATTAATGCTTCTGACATCTTTGTCTACATGAATATTACATTTGAATAGGAGAATTCGCATATTAAGAGCCATATACTCTGCTAAGGATACAGAGATGAAAAGCACAGATTTCAAGTAGTTCATAATTACTTGAGTGAGATGAGCAAGTAAGAGGATAGAATACAAAGTGATTAGAGCTATAATAGCATTATCCAAGTGTGTTATAGGAATACAGAAAAGATGAACTTATTCCTGGCCAAAAAATCAGAGTTAGTTTCTCTGGAGGAAAGTAGACGGTGAATCTCCAAGAATATGTTAACAAAGGGAAAAAGGAAAATGAGGACATTGTAGGAAGAGGAACAGTTGTGTAAAGAGAGAGGCATAACAAAGCATAATTATTTCCCAGAAGTACAAATTAATCTGAGTATAAATTACAAGTGGAAAATGGTGAATTGAGACTAAAATGGTAAGCTGGAGCTTAATCATAAAAAGGGAAATTATGTAGGGCCTCCCTGGTGGCGCAGGGGTTAAAGACCGTGCTATCAAGCGACCTCCTGTCAGTGCAGCAGGAGTTTGATCCCCTGTGTGGCCAGCTAGGGAGCAACCCACATGGCGCAGCAGTGTGTTTCTGTAGATCTGCCTGTTCTGCTTCCTACTTTCTCTGGTGAATTCTCTCACAACCTGCACCTCTGGTCTATACCCCAGTTCTTGTATGCATAAATAAATAATCTTTTTTTTTTTTTTTTTTAGAAAAAAGGGAAATTATATATACCATTTAGTTATCAAGGTTGGAAAAGCTTTTGTATTTTACATAACATTCCAATTTAAATGGTTAAAAGTATTTCATCAGCTATTATAACTATAGAAAACTAAAATCGTACTGTGCTTTTTAAGCAACTGCCATATATTTTTATTAAAATGAACCATTTTGATCAGTTTGCTTTCATTTCCAGAGATTGCTCTGCATAAATCCACCTCTGTTTGAAATCTATCAAGTCTTATTAAGTCCAACACAACATCATATAGCACTTATAGGAATAAAAGGACTATCAGTATTAGAATTACCTAAAAGATGGGGGAAGAATTCTGAATTTGAAGGTGGAAAATCAGTAGTGAATTGTAGGTAAGTTATGTTCCCATCTAGTGTTTATCTGTTTAATTTGTAATACATGCAGAATATTATTCCAGATCTCTGGCTCTTAAGGTATGTTTACTATGCTTCTGTTTGAACATTAGCGTTCTCCAGATGGTCTTGTGATATTAATACTGACAGTATCCTGTATGGGTGATCACATTGCAAGTCATGCCATTTTGTCAAGAAATAGAAATAAGATTTTTTAAAAGCTGTTATTTATGATCCAAAACTTAAGTTTTATTTTTGCTTTGTTTTCTTTTTTAACAAGTATAGAAAAGTTAGTCTGAAAAGATATATATATATATATATAGAAACCCATCATTAGCTCCACTACTTACAGGTTTGATCCCCTTAAAATATCTCCTTTCTAAATATCTATCTCCTCATGTACACAATCACAATGATAGTATCTGCTGTTGTAGTTTCCTTGCTAGGTTATGACAGGATCAAATAAGATATGATATTAAAATCATATAAAGTTTAGTATAAAATACTTTGTAATTTAAAAAATATTTTTATTTTACTTTTTGATGTTCACTGACTAGATTCTTTGAATGCTCTCTTAGAAAGATTTAGGAGAAAGAGATTTGAAGGAAAGGAGAACAGTGTTTTAAAATAGATTTTCCTTTAGAAGGTTTTTCATCCAAGTTCTACACAATATGTTTTGGAAAATTGTTGTCTTTATTTTAGTACCACTCCAATTGCTGAGAGATTTTTCACCAGTTCTACCTCTCTGACTCTAAAGCATGCTGCCTGGTATCCAAGTGAAATGCTGGACCCCCACATCGTACTGTTAACATCAGATAATGTAATAAGGTGAGTTTTATTTTTATCTCTTGTAACTTTGTGTGACTCTACTTCTGTTTGCCAGTTAACAGCTCAGGGTACCACAAAATGAGTCATTGATGTTGGAATGGTTTGTCTAATGGCTCTTGTACTCATCTAAGAATGGCCTCATTGTCCTCACTTACACCCCTTAATTGCTGCTATACCCTGGCCTTCCTGCTTCCAGTTTCTCCTATACTAGTCAAGTACTGTTAGAATAATCTTTCCAAGACCATTTTCATTATGTCACCCTTTGGGATGTAATGTAGCTTAGGGGAAAGAAAATATAAGTGAGAACTGAGAAATTTGAA